AGAAATCCAGTCTTTGGAGGCCTAGCGGCCCGTCTCATGTTAGTATCCGGAATCAGCACATTCGATTACCTATTGTTCACTAAGTTTTAAGCTAGAAGCGATTTATCACTTGGTGTCCTTTCCTCGTGAGAGTCTCACAGTGCTACGATGGAAAGATGATGCCATGTCGAAACACACGAGCCACGCCGCGACACTTTTCAGCGACTAAACATCGAACGGAGAGACGTTCATCGACAGAATCACCGTGTGCTCGTTTGCACCGGCCATTGAGCAAGGATACCCTTCTGTACTAGCCGACGGGAACAGGGGTGTTGGCGATGGACAGAGATCTTCGATGAAGATGTCAAGCTGATCGTCGGTTGCTGGTTGGTGCGTTGACAGAGGGAGGTAGATGAAAGAAGAAGAGAGGAGCGAGAAAATCGAGGAGAAGAAGCGAGCGAGAGGGAATTTTCACAGTTAGACCAGAGGCAGGGATGTGAATGAAAAGAAGAAGAGGATGGCTGGGTAACGTTTCGTGTACGCATGGGAGAGCCTATTCTTCATAGGGAGAAAAATCAAGGGGTGGGAGTGAAGGGAAGATCAATGTTCAACAATCGTTCAGTGGAACTGCCGAAATCATCAATGTGGCAAGGCGGCGGTCGTGGCGTTTGGGGTCTGTATGGTGACGGATCTGTGTTCATCGTTACAGTCGTAGTCGCCATCATCATCGCGTTGAACGACTGGTCTTCCGGCCTCGACAGCTAAACGAGAAGAACAGATTTTCGTCCTCATCTCGTGATTGAATGGTTTCTCACTTACTTCTTTGCCGATCGAATGCTTCATCCTCGTCTGAGACCATTCGGAACGCCGCCTTTCGAATGACCAATTCCACTTCGAGGCGTTCCCGTTCCCCCGATGTCGCTCTTGCCTTCTTCACCTGGTGGAGTGCTTCTTCGGTGCTCTGGAGTGATGTTTTACTTTGTTTTTCTAATCCTTCCAGCCTGCTCATCTAGATGATCGGTTTATGGCAAATCTCCTCTGAAGAGGAAGTTCTTCACTTACATCAGAAACTGCTTCTGTGATTTGTGGACAAGTAAAATGACCAAGGGGGAAAAAACTAATCAGACATTCGCATCCATTCCCATGGAATCCCATCCATTCGAATGGCTCCGAATGAGTCTTTGCCCCTTGGAAATGACAGTAAATAATCCTTATGGGATTCATGTATGGGTTTCTTTTATATGACTATTTGCGTGTTTCTTTATCATGTTGAGAGAGGTTAATAATGCATCTTTTTTTTCCTTTTATACATTAATTACAGGTAACGTATGTAACGCGCAGAATGAAAAAGAAAATTTTGATCTACGGGCTCTTCTATACTATTGTGCGCTTATTTTTTCGTTAAAGTGAGGTGAAGGGAATGCGTTCTGCGCATCAGTGGTCGCTGCAGCAAAAAAAGAGATAAAAACATACGCTCCTCGCATTTTCATTTAGTTTTTTTGCCTTCGTTTAGATTCACAGCTAGTGTAGTCATCCATTCTTCTTTGACTCTAATCGTCCTTGGACATTATTTAACGGTAGCTACTACTATACTATTTGTATTTAATCTACGCTATTCAAGTGTCATATTTTCATGTCAAAGCTCGCTGCCTTATTCAAAGGTGTGATTCCGAGTGATTATCGTGATTTATTTTTTGGGAATTTATTTAAAATACCTGCTTTATCTAATGATCGCCTATACCACATTTTAACTGTACCAAAAGAGACTCTTAGTTTCGAAGGTGCACCTTCATGCTCACTTGATCCGCCGCGCTAAGTCTCCCTGTGACATTCATCCCCTCGAGATTCACAGTGAATTTCATAGTAAAAGCATACATGATTTTACTTTCATAGAGTGTATTAGCTATTTCTATTACGCCGCGAGGGTGGATGGCTTTGAAGGGATAGCGAGAAAAGATAGACGTTCCCCCTCACGCTCAATCTCAAGGTACCTCCCTGGACATCAACGAACGATTCTTCCTTCGATTATTAACCTTTGTAATAAGGAGCAAGAAACCCGAACTTTATGCCACGCCTGTATCTTGCACTTCTTCTTTCTGAATAGCTACTTATCAGACAAGTTTGAATCGTGCTGTTCAATGGCATACAGGTAGGCATCTACAAAATTTCGTCAGCCCAATCATACATTTTTCGTGCTCGCCATACAGATGGACGATGCCAACACAAGGACATGAAGGAAAAGCGCCGATAATCAAGAAAACCTTCTTGCATGATCGAAAAACCAATCAACGCTTTCGTCTAAACGGTGATCGAGAGGCAAGTCGAAAGCCTATCAAAGACTATCTACATAAAGATTTTTCAAAACACATTATGTATGCCCCTTCTCAACTACCGCCAAAAGTCGATCTTCGTCCATGGATGACAAAAATCGAAGATCAATCGGACGCCAACAGTTGGTAAGTTATGTCTGGCGTGAAAGATATGAACCATATTAGATAACAAATTGCTCTACTGGATAATTCTGTCATGCATCCCTGCGGATTAATTAGTGAGGAGAGCTGACATACTTCGCACGCGCGATACACTTGTCGACACGCACATATGGGTCGTATAGATCATTTTTCTGTACATATTGGGGAAAAAGTTAGAGTATTACGAAAAGAACTGTTTCTCCTATTTATCGAAGAGTTGTTTTTTGGAGAGCGGAAAAGAAAGGTTTTCAATCTTGCCGGTCTCTTTCCAGCACGGCGAACGCCACGGCTGGAGCTTATGAATACTTGAACAATAAAGCTACAGGTCGCTGTATCGATGTTAGTCGTCTCTTCATCTATTACAACAGTCGACTTAAGGATAACGACGGAAATAACAAGGTCACCGACGAGGGTTCGTCCATCGCCTATGCAATTGAGACATTGGAAGAGGTGGGTGTCTGTCTCGAATCATTATGGCCATATGATATCAAACGAGTAAATTACAAGCCCAGTAAACAATGTTATGCCGCAGCCGAAGAGTATACCATCACTGAGGCACTCGAGGTCGATATTGATTTGAATGAGATGAAGGCTTGTCTCGCTCAAGGTTTTCCCATTATCATCAGTCTCAATTTGTTCAAGTCATTCGACAAGGCAAAGGAGAAAGGGATCGTTCCGTTACCACGCCGATCTGAGACTAGCCGATCGACACATGGAAGGTATGTATACTTTCAGCATACGACGTGAAGGTCCATAGCTTTTAATCTAAAAGGAGTGTATTACTTCATTTTACAATCATCGTAGAGTAGAAACGAGACATACTATGGAAATTTTGTTTTTAGACATGCTGTCCTAGCATCTGGTTACAGCGATGCATCAAAAGCATTTATCGTACGCAATTCATGGGGAGAAAATTGGGTGAGTCTTTTAATTAATAATACCTGTTAAGAAGTGGTTCCTTATCACGTTTCAAATACGTATCCGGTCACGTTCTCCTTCACGTGTTTATTCATATGTAAACCCCTCGATCTATCTATATTAGTTATCACTTCTTCTTTCGATTTCTATATCTCTTTGTTATCGGTCACTTTAGAATGTTCTTCTCTTTTGTTTGTACTTGCACACTCTTACAACATAGTTAAATATCTTTGGCTTATTCTTCCACTTTGTTAAATATATATAAATACAGTGAAAAAGTGCATTTTAGTCAAGCTTGATTTTATTCTAACTTTTACTGCCTCGTGTCGAGATTCCTAAACGTGTTTTTTTCTTTTATTTAACAATAAACTAAAACTTGATCAAGAAACTACCGCTACCTAACTCGACTCAGATCCTGACGTAAGTACGAGCTAACAATGGTGCACTTGCCGGATTTTATTTGAATAAATAGCATCGATCAATAAAATTGGAATCGGATCGTCGCGTGGCAGTTAGGTAGAAACTATTGGGTACAATTTGTTGTGACTTTGATAATCATGGTGCTAACAAGGCAACAAATCAAAAATGCACAATTGGATCCATCCAGGCACATCAGCACCAGACCATGATGTTGATAATAATCAAGATGGTAATTTGAAAATGTATGATGAAAATGCATTAGCACAAGGTGTGCAAAATAATCTAGTGAATTATCAGCAACAACAAATTAATAATGAACAACACGTTGAACATCACCAGGATCGTGAAATTCCATTAGGACCAATGAGCAACTTAATAATGCCTTTAAGAATCCCT